GTATGCCAAAAGAATCTCTTGTAATTATTTCTCCAGTGGAGTCGTATGTGCTACGTATCAATAACATAGAAATAAACGCAGAGAAAGTATTTGATTTAATAGAAAAAATAGTTTTGTACAAGAAATTAATAGAAATAGATATTGTTAAAATACAATATAATTATAGTTTCAATAAAAGTCAAAAACAGAAGATAAATATAAGGAAGTAAGTATTTTCACTGTTATTAAAAAAAGGTCTATTAATCCTCCAGGACTGAAGGTAATTTCATACCTACAATACCTATCCCCAGGAAATAAAATTCGACCCTAACAACAATTCAGCGGATTGTGAAAACAAGTCATGAAACCATATTTATTTACATACGTGTACGTTTCTGTTTATCTACCAACTACTAGTCACGGTATGCCCAAATATGCTTGAAGAAATGAAAGTTGGTATTCTATAACCTGCTGAATTACATTATTTGGATCTCATACTGATTTGGTATGTTACAGACTTTACTATATAGCTACAATTTTAAAATTTTATTGTTAACAAATGAAAACATTCTGCAATTGAATATTTAAAACCCAAAAGCTTTCTATACATTACAGCAGTGGTCGCCAACCCCTCAATGTGTTGAGCTACTTTGTTAATTTTGGAATAAACAGCGAGCTACCCACACGGAAGCCACGTAACGCAACGTAAATGAAATAATCCAGAGTTAATTTATCATTATACGTATTTATTGTACTATTTAACTGGTAATACATAATATATAGGTACTAATAATAAACTAATAACAAAATAACTAATATTACTAGTACGTATTTGTTCATAGCTACATACCTACCTACCAAACGAAGGTGTTTGAAAAATAAACACAAACTTTTATCCAGCCACAACGGCATGTCACGTAAGATTTAAAAATAGTTAATAATAACAACAAAAAAGTAACGCACTATCATGAACATAAACATTGAAAAATAAAAAAGCACGTTCAATGAGAAGGCTGACACTCAGACTCATCGATATTTTTTTTAATTTTTGCAGTATAATTTGATACAGCCATTCGAATACAATTATCCAAATGTTCATCTGTAAGTCGATTGCGATATTTGTTCTTAATAAACTTCATATTGGAAAAAGAAGATTCACACAAATATATTGAACTGAATAATGCTTTCACTTTCAAGGCAACACGGCATAGAACTGAATATTTGTCTTTACTTACAATAGGCCAGATACATTTGGTTAAATCATTTTGAAACTCAATTACTTCCATTTCTGTTGCAGCGATGTCTTCGCCAAAGTTCTGCATAACACAAGTTGCAAACTGTTGGATATCAATTTCCATAAAGGGTGAAACAACAAACTGCACTACTAAAGCCATTTCGTTGAAATCCTTAAAATGATTTTTGAAGTTATTCTTCAGAGTAGAATCTATTTCTACATGATATTTGCTGTCATAGGGTTCTAATGGATTTTGAGATATTTTTTCTGAAAGAATAGGAAAATGCTTGGCATCGCTGTTAATTAGGTTTTGTTCCCAAAACTCCAGCTTTTTCATAAATGCTTTTATATAAGAAATCATTTCCACTGGTTCTTTGTCTCTCCCCTGAAGCTGCAAATTAAGATCGTTTAATTTCTCTGTAATGTCCACGAGAAAACCAAAATCTCTAAGCCAGATTGAATTTTTTAGTTCCGGAGTCGGTTCATCGCGTTGTTTGAAAAAATGAACTATGCCAGATAGGGCATCATTAAAACGTTTTAGCACCCGTCCTCTACTTTACCATCGGACTTCAGAGTGAAGGAGTAGGTCCCCGTATTGACAGTCAACTTCATCGGCCAAGGTTTTCAATAATCTTCTTTGTAACGCTTGAGCTCTAATCTTGTTCACAATTTTTACCACCAGTTTCATAACGTTGTTTAGTTTCAGGAAATTTCCACATAATGCTTGCTGATGGATAATGCAGTGGTAACAGAGAAATTGCGGAAAAGTTTCATCTTTACGACATAACGCCACCAGACCTTTATCACAACCCACCATAGCTGGAGCGCCATCGGTTGTCAAGCTTACCATTTTCGATATTGGAATTTTCTCGGAAGAAATAATATTTTTTAAATGAGAAAACAACTCCTGTCCAGTAGTGTGTCCTTTCAGTGGAATAAACTTCAAAAGATCTTCTTTAATCGTAAAATCACTAAAAACCATCCTGACGAACACGCCCATCTGGGCAGTGTCAACGACATCTGTTGATTCATCCAGTTGAAGTGAAAAATAAACACAGTTATCTAAGTCAGTTCTTAACTGTAAAAAAATATCATTGCTCATTACTTCTACACGTTTCATCACTGTATTAGCAGAAAGTTGCTTAGATTTTATAGCTGAAACTATCTCGTCTTTATTTCTAAAGTTGGCAAATAACAAATCAGCAGCTTCTAAAAACGCCTGTTTTATCATTTCCCCGTCTTCATAAGGTTTCTTTTTTTGTGTAATTATCTGGGACACACGGTACGATGCTTCAGTTGCAGCCTTATTTTTGTCGATTGTTCTTAAAAATATTAATGTACAGTTTTATGGTGTCTCTCAATATTTCCTTTTTTAGCAACGGAGACCGAAGTATTACATAACAAACACACATTTTTATCTTTAACTTCTGTAAAAAAGTATTGTTTTTCCCATTCCGAATGAAAGTGGTATGTCTTTACCTTCTTACAACTGCTTGCCATAATATTATATATTTGTTGTTCTCTACTAACCCAACCGCTGGACGTTGGTTACGCGTTCAGTTTTAAACTAAGCACAATGTCACCGCGCCGTGCGTATTTATCCCGTTCAAAGCAATCCTGATCGATCTCGAACACTAACGCGCTGGTCCGGCTGGTTGGTTCTAGCTGATTCTAGCTTGATGGCGTCAGCGGCAGATCGCTCACCGCAACGTTGCCGCTGTTTATGTTTAATATTATGACAATTAAATTTTTTTGTGGAATTTTCGGAAGCTTCTCTGATTTTTGCAGTTTGTATTTTTTTAAATTAAAATCGTTGTGAGAGCTACCAGAATTGCCTCTGCGAGCTACCGGTAGCTCGCGATCGACGGGTTGGCGACCACTGATCTAAGGGAATGTAATAAGCCCTTCTATATTATTATTGACCCGTCGTCGCATGGGGTATAACGCCAAACATGAATTATTGACTGAGTTAATTGCAATAATTGACTTTATTAATTGATTGATCGGAAGTTATCAGCGACCTACGTATGTTCTGTGTTTGTTTACATGAAAACGTAATAAGCTTTTACGAAATTTCGCGGTCCGTTGATCGACCGTTTGATAACGGCATACATTAAAGGGAGGCGTAAAGTGCCATTTTAATTGTTTAACAACCGCAGAAAGTGAAATCGAAACGCACAAACGAAAACGATAATGTGTTATGGTCGAAAGGAGTGATTTAGGTGGGGCCAAAATGTTTTTTCGGAATTGGAATATCCGATTTATATGCGGAAAATTACTGCGGAAGCTTTTAGATAATTGAAGAGCTTAACTTCAAAAGGGTCTAAGTGCCAAAAATTTAAAAATATACATTTTTGAATAAAGAGGTTCAATATGCAACCATAACGGTATCCAAATGGTTTTAAGCGTAATTTCAAAGAAGTGGGACAAAAAATTCTTTAAATTCTGATCAACAGATTATTTGTCTAACTGAAACAAGGTTAAATAGCTCTATTTCATCATCTGAGATCGAGAACACATCCACCGAACAAGATGGTGGAGGTGTATTAATAGGTGTAAATAAAGATTTGTGTAGTGTTGTACGGCATGTGGATGACAGATTCTGAAGATTTATGGATCACAATAACCTCTATCGGTAACTCTAACTCTATTTTTGTATACAGATTATCTCTTAGAAAATATAGAAAGAGGAACACAAGTAGACGCTATCTATACCGATTTTCAGTAAAGCTTTCGACAAGATTGATCATGCTATTTTGCTTAAAAAATTGGCTGGAGTCGGTATTCATGGCAATTTAATAAGATGGTTCAAATCATACATCAGTAACAGATCTCAAGCAGTCTATTGGTAAGTGTGGTTCTCGGCTTGCTACTATCACATCAGGAATACCTCAAGGTTCACACCTAGGTCCTCTGCTATTTATAATATACATTAATGACATTGGATCATGTTTCAAATATACAAAAATTTTTATTATTGTGTGCCGACGATCTAAAATTTTTCCTAAAAATCACTAGTGCCTTTAATTATTTACTAATTCAACACGACTTGAATGGGTTGGCTCTTTATTATCAAAACAATAACCTTTTTCTTAATCCAAAGAAATGTCATTGGATCATTTTCACTAGAAATAAAAATATTATAGACAATCAGTACTCCCTCAATAATGAAACTCTAAATCGCGTCTCTGAGGTAAAAGACCTTAAAAAACGAGTAGACTCCAAAGCTTCGGCGGTAGCGAGTGGATCTACAAAAAAATGTAAACCGCCGATTATTTATTTTTGACGCAAATAATATTATTAAATTTTTTAATCGATGCAGGGGCTGACATATCAGTCATTCCTCGTGATGTTTTTAAAAATGTTAAAAAATCACATGGTAACATAATAAAAACAGAGGCAGTACACTACACCAACCATAACGGTATCCTAATGGTTCTAAGTGTATTTTCAAAGAAGTGGGACAAACATGGCGAATGTAATATTAGCGTATTTGACGTATAACATTTTTATTTTTACCCATAACTTTTTTCCATGATCTTGGCACTTAGACCCTTTTGAAATTAAGGTCTTCAATTAAAAGTATGAAATTCTTCAAAAGTTTAACATATGTTAATAATAAAATAATAAATCAATTTCTTTAACATTAAGAAATTAGTAAATACGAAATTATGTAATGTTTTGGATCCTAAGAAACAACGGATAGAGGAAGAAAAAAAATCATGAATCTTCCATCTATTTGAAATAATAATTATCAGCAATATAATAAAATTAGATAGGTACTTACTTTAAATTGGGTTTGGCTTTGTTGATGATCACCTCGCAAATGGGACAGTAGCTGTTTTCATGAAGGAACTTGATAATGCAACTTCTGCAAACTGCAAATAAATGAAACATTTTGATACAATTTGAAGTTAAATAAATAATAAAATAGTAGCGCAATAAAAGAGAAACAAGTTTACTGATATAATAAAGCTACCATTTCGCAAGCCGAGGCAGAGACCGACTTCCAACTCGCCGCGACAGCAAGGGAGACACAAAACGGTCTCTTCACGTCTGAACACATGTAATTATATGAAACACATTTCGGTAGAAGCGACCGACGACATCAGATTTAGTATGGCAATATTTGCCGCCTTACTTCTGTCTCGTTCTCGCGTCGATTGTCGCACGTTGCCAAATGGTACCTTTAGAAGAAGAAAAACAAGTTTTAGAAGCATGAATACAAGACATGAAAATTATTCGCTTGCAGTCTGACATACTCTAATAAAATGGTCCAGTTACACAAACCAAAAGGACAATTTTTATTATTTCCATTCAAGTGGGCCCTTTTTTGATTAAATACGATTCCTTTCAGTGCCATTTTAAACTTTTAAAAATTTATTTAAGATCTTGCCTTTTAAAGTTGAAATTTTTTATTAATTAGAGAAAAATTTCTTTATTTATAATTGTTGAGTTATTTAAAAAAAAATGTAATTTGAAAAAGTTGTCTTTTAAGTAGTTCTATACACAGTATCAACTTAGAAATCACCCTGTATATAAGCGAAATACCCCTCACTGACCCATCACGAGATTTTTAAAACTATAAGCCCGATTGACTTTAAATTTGGTAGTTACTCCTTTCTCGACACAGACCCCCCACTAAGAACGAATTCTATACAAATCACATTTTGGGGGAGAAACGGGTCGCTTAAAGTGTTGTATAGCAAACCCTATGATTCTTTGATAACGCGGATTTTCATCTGGCCCTCCATCAACCGTCATGATTACCACTGGTTTTACTAGTCCATGGTCAAAATTAGCTAATGGTCGAAACTATTCAAGTTCGAGAATCGTCTCGAAATCCTGAGCATGAGCATTAGCAGTAGATGAACTATGCTTTCTACTTCGAATAACGATGTATGTCCAGAATATCCAACGGCTTGCGGTTGTCCTAGCATACTGGAAGTGATTTTGATACCAGTATTAATTTATGACGCCCAATCGTAGTCAGGCAATTTGATTCTATATTTCATGTGCATTAGAAGAGGTGCTTGCTTATTTGCCGCAGTTACGTCAATACGGACTCGAGCTGTATCATTTTGAGATATGAAAAATATTTGATCTGGTCTAAGTATGTATGCTATGTTCTCTAAATAATGGATTGATGTTTCAACGAACTTGCTATCTAAGTGGCTCTTGTGGTGATCAGTTTGAGCCCGAATCAACTTAACAGGGACTATCGATACATGTCTGCAAAATTAGATTAGACGGCATGGGGATACACCTGTAGAACAAACAGAAAGAAGATCCAAAGCCAGCAGAACATCAGCTTAAGATGGGCCTCAAACGCATACAGATACACTAGAAACGACGTTATCAGGAGGGATTTAGAATCCAAAAGGGTCCTAGACCTCATACACAAGAAGGCCACAGACACCTTCAAAAAACTAAGAACTCACCCGAATATAGAGATAAGAGAACTCACAGAGTACGAAAGAGCGGATTATAGAAGACACGCCAGACCACGCAAGGTGCTGGACTATCGCGACGAGTGACCGACCCTTGGGTGCAAAATTCAAGAGTCTCATAGATTTAAGATTTTCTTTTAGCGTTCTCTTTCAGAATACTCGACAGAGCGCATCACGCGATTTAGACAAGGACTGAGCAACTGCCGACTAACCACCTGGGGGCCAAGTAGGAGACTGGGGGAGCTTTCACAGGTGGCGACTTTCACAGAACGGCACACACATGACAAACAAACGGACGACGGGAAATGCTTTCAGCAAACCCTGTCTAAATGCTGATACTACGTCATCCTTCACAGCCCTTTTAGAAGGAATAACATACCAATCATAGGATGGAAAATTGAGGCCCCCTAAAGCGAAGTTTATCAGGGGGGGAGGTGGTCGTCAGGAGGGTTCTGATCCAGTTTAATCTACTTAGGAGGGCGCACAATGGGCCTAGTGAAGCCTAAGTGCCGTTACAGATAGCGATCAACAGTGACCATTGAACAAATCTAATTTTATTAAAGTTATATTTATTAAGAATATAGTTGAATCTTGGAATAATAGGCAGAAATTTAACCAAACTTTGTTGCAATGATATATGGTATTCTTCACATATTAAATTATCGACTATTATTTTCGTATTCAAATACAGTATGAATTTGGCTGGGTTTAAAATGTCACATCTAAAATCGATATATCAATAGAAACAAATATTGAAGTGAAATTGAATCATTATTAAATAAAAAAAAAAACTATACTTATATAAAAACAATAAAATCCTTTATAAATTAATCAAATCAGGTTAAATTCACTTTTTAAAACCATTTAGCTTATAAAAAATCTACAAATTATAATTTATCATTCAATCTGCTTTGGGTTTTCTTTGTTCCTTTATCCATTTAAATGTCACGATAAAAATATTTCTCTATTGTTCTGCGCCCGTAGTTTCGTTGGCATTTCATTCATTTTCGATTCAAACGAAATTACTAAAATATTTATGATCGAATCGGTGTACGTTCAAACCTAGGTTTCGAATAATTTTGGATAAATATGAATTATTTAGTTCCCAGGTGCAACAGTTAGCGTAAAATTGTATTGTTGGCCTTTATTTGGATGCTAATTTAAGCCATGATGATTCAGGTATGCGTCATTAATTTTCGGGGTTTATTCTATATCCAGAAATATGAGATTCGTTCTATAATATCTGCAATTTTCTTGTCGCTTTCTTGAGATAGTGATTTTTTAATTTAATTCGAAGCACTTAATCATGGGTAATTCTAATTGTGTTGTATACTGTATCAATAGCAGACATATTTAAGTAAAATGAACAGATTTCAATACAGCCTGCTTTTATTAGAGTATGCAAGACTGAGACACTAAAATCCTCGTATTCATTTACATGGTTTTTCATTGTTATAACCTTCTATAAATGAATAATTACATTGAGGTGTGCATTTTAAATCTTGTTGACACGTTGGAGGTAAATATTTTGGATACTATAGCTGATATTCCTTCAATAAGCACTCGAAGATTAGCCCGCGCAGCTTCATGTGTCAAAAACGACAATTGCTGAAGTACTTAAAGAACAGTTGCAAAAACTGCATCAACTACTTCTTGAAGATTGTTCTCCAAGAATGCAGTTCGCAAACTGGCTGTTAGATCAGTAACGAACAAACGGAAATGTCATTAACACTATTCTTTTTACCGATAAAGCAGGGTTTACCTACGAGCGGTAGGAAAAAAATTATGGGAACTTGTCATCCTATTTTTTAATGTTCTATCTGAATCCGAAAGACCTTCCACATTTTCCCGTACACTCTGTATAGTTCTTCAACTTCTATTTATAAAATTTAAATTTCACTTCACAATATCGAATTATGTAGATAATCTGTCAATCACCAGCTGAAATTCATTTTTATACTATTGTAATAATTATAATCACAAACCGTTAGCCCCCCCTCGCCACCACTGTATCCATGAAGAGCTTATGATTATTATATTATTAGGTGAATTTTGCAGGTACAAAATCTTCCTTTTCTATTAGACTGAATGGGAAAAGGGTTATTTAGAGTAATGAGATTGGATTGGATTTAATTTTCTATTACTATTTATTTTATACCAAACGCAATCGACAAAATATCTGAATAATTTGGTTAATTTAGGTACTCACGAGTGAAAACATTTTGACGTGATACAATCCAACTCTAATGAATATTGAAAATACAATATTAACTCGCGAAATCAAAATAGTTCAAATAAATGGAATTTATTGCGATAACATAATAATATTTAACGTTATACCTATAGATTATTTTTTGTTGTCATTCTCCGTAACATGTTTATATTAAATCTGTTGATTTTAATTTAGTAACTAAGGGCTGCTCGAACGAAACAGGCATGAAAACTATCATGTGACCTCACGATAATAATATTCTCAAATGGGATCGATATCGGGAAACATTGATGCTGCTTTCCCACATCCGTGTTTGTCTCATGCTAAAATATTAGTCCGGCTTTTGTTGTAGAAAATATTTTATACATATATTTTTTTATAAAAAAACCTACGTTATTTCTTAGCGTACGTATCACTCTATAATAGAGAGTTGAAGTGATGCAATAAACGTAAACGTATACGTGAAAAATGACATCTACGCATGCGTATTTAAATATCCTTCACGTTCACGTCTACGTACATACGTAACCCAGCAAACATTTTGGTGTAATTTGACGTCGATACTACCTAAATTATATATAATAAATTTGGTCGCAAAATTAGATTTAACCATAATTAAGTAAAATTTACGTTGGCTCGACGTGGATTCGACATAAGTGGAGAATAAGACGACGTCGAAATTTGGTTTTATTTACCAAAATAGGTAGAATTACATCTAAATCCACATTGTAGTAGCCCTGTACGTTAGGTTAGTAATACCTCTCTAGGGAAATTTGACTTCAGTATAACGTTAATTCGACGTTGATTTAACTAAGTTTAGGTAGAAACTACCAAAATATTTGCAGATGACGTATGCCTCCAAGTGTACGAAAAGAAATTTTATACTTATTTGGTATTTTTATCTATATATAAGTAGAAATATTGTAAGAAGTCACCAACACAACTAAAACATATATCTAATTCACATAAAAGATTGAAAATAAATAAATGTCGGTGACAAAAATATATGTAAAGTAATTGCGGTGAATATACAGTTCACGCTTGTTGAAATTAATGCGAAGAAAATTTTGTCGTGCATGTTAACAGTTCTACTTAGAAAAATAACAATGCCCTTCCAAAATACTCTCTAATTAAAAAAATATAAGAAAAAAATATGATCGTGTAAAAAAATAATAATATTATGAGCTAAAACTATGTTACGTTTGTTGTGTATCACTTTAGAAAATCAATAATGTTTCGTTTTTCGGTATTTTCATTCGTATGTTTTAGTTATGGTCATTTTAAAAATTTAAAATTTAAAATCTTACTTCAATTACGTTAAGAAAATATGGCGTATTGTGCGAATTCGACCTAAAAGTTATTATGACTAAGGAAATCTACGTATTTTACAAATACCTTTTTAATGAGTTGAATTAACTTCAATTTCACGACATATTAGTTAACTTTACCTATTTAAAGAAATAATAACTTATAGGTTTTATAAAAAATTTACCTATAGGTAAATATAACATATTTAGGTCACGTTGTTCTGCACTTGAGATTTTAGACGTTTCACTTTACGATAAAAATCGGAAGTATAACGATATGATTTATTATTTTTCGAACTCATTTTATTAATTATTTTTCGCACTCATTTAAAGCTCTATCTACACCACACGTAAATTAAGATTACGACTGTAATGGTTTTTTTAAAATGGCCGAAATTCTTAAGAATAATGACTAAGACAGTAACTGAACAACCAAATTGTTAAAATAACCTAAATAATATAAATTTTACAAATAGGTCATGTATGACTCTTTTTAAATTGGTGGTTTTTAGTCGAATTTACTTTGTGGTAGATTTTTCAGGTAATTGCTACAACAAAGTTAATAAATATTTCTTCAAGATGACTTATAGGTCAACTAAATGAGTATTCGACTATTTGGTTGAAATTAGGTAGATAAACAGGTATAATTTTGCTACGATCTCGACCTAATATTACTTTAAAGGAGAGTAAATAAAAGCAGCCAAATAGGTTACTATGGAGGCATAAAATTACGTAGAATTTTTAACCAAATCTACCTAGTTGGATATTCTACTATAAAGACGATTTTTAGTTGCCAAACAGGTAGATATTACCTAAATATGGCACCTAATTTTACTACAAAGGAAATTTAACTTTGAAGTAATTGTTGGTTATTTTTAGTAGTTTTTCCCTTGCTGATATGGTTAATGTTACTTTTAAGCAGATTTGTGTAAAAGGTAGATTTCTTGGTATAATTTACGTAAATTTAAATATAAATTAAAACAATTTGGTAAATTTACATTAGAGGTATATTTTTCTAGTCAATTTTACGTAATAATTACCTCAATAAGTAAATTCGTCTTAAAGTCGAGTTATAACTAATGTTATAGCAAATGTTTGCTGGGAAGCTTACAGACTCTGGCGTATGTACGCAACGCAAAGAAAATAACCTCTTTTTAATTGGGAAAGAAGAAATCCTGATATTGTCATTATCTGTCATGACACGTAAATGTCACGATACATTTAACAACTTCAACTGGACTTAAACATTATATTTCTGAGTTGACGTTCACGTTTACGTTAACGTACTGGAAATACTTCAACTCTCTAATATGTTAACGTGGGAATACGCAATATGCCTATATCCGTGTCATCTCACGATAAAATGTAGATATACACGTCAAATGTAAATGTTATGAGTGTTTAAACGATACAATTTATTTTTCTTCAACTGCTAATAACCGTAACGAAAATTTATAGTGAAATTTTCACGTGACAGCTTACGATAAATTATCAGAAGGTTTGACTGCGCATGTATTTATTAAAATATTAAAGTATCGGCAACGATCTAGTTATTTCTCATTACGACAATTTCTCGTATCGTCTAACATATTCATATAATAATGTATAGATACACCTGCAGTTTCCGTGAGAGTGTTTCTATGATGGAGGTTATAAAACCATTCATAAAATCTTTCATATACAGTGCTGAATCAAATAGGACTCCTAAATCTGCAAACATTTTTGGACTGTTTACGGGAGTTTCGTCAACAACATACTGGTAAAAAGTTGGATCTGACTTTAAGGAGTACGACATTATATTGCACTTGGCTGGGTTCAATTTTAAATTATTTCTATGATACCATTCATTAACTTGTTTTAGATTTTCAATAAGTCACTCGCAGTCAGCAATACTATTTATGGAAGCATAAATTTTAAGGTCATCAGCATACAGTAGATAATTAACATTAATTATACCACCAATGTCATTTATAAAAATATTAAACAAGAGCGGGTCAAGTTTCGACCCTTGAGGGACACTCGATGTGGCAAGGTACTTAACAAACTTGAACCCATTGAGCTCAACGTATTGTGAACGGTTACACAAATATGATTTTAGTAAGTCAATAAGACTATCTGAGAGTCCAAAAGCAGATAGTTTTTTTACTAAAATTCCATGGTCAAGTCTGTCAAATACTTTAGTCATATCTGTATAAATAACATCAGTCTGCTATATGCTGAGTAATGACTGAGAGATTCGTGACTGTTGATCGACCTTTCACAAATCTATGTTGTTGTGTGGATAACGCATTACTTATATGTTGATAAATACTGCGTTCCAGTAATATTTCTAATACTTTACAAAAATTGCAAATAATAGAAATCGGACATACTTTAGAGCTATTGTTTTGCGTTAAATAAATATGTTCTAAAATGACCAATATCAAAATAATTTAAAACTTTCGTGTATTAGAAAGAACTGGCAGTTTCCTGTATTTATGTTGAATTTGAAGGTTCTAGCTAAATTAAGATCAAATTTGTTTAAAACATTAAATTTCAAATAGAATTCTTAATACTTTAGTTCTAGTTGTATCAATTTATTTATCTTCTAAATATATAACTTTCTCCCCATTAAACCTCATCTATATTTCTTCCACTTCCAATACCCTACATCAAGATAGTTAATAACAACCGACCCAAAATGTGCTATTTATAAATATTTATGTTATATCTAAATATTTCCATGCCTTTACTAAATACTAACTAGTCAATATGAAAATTATGTTTCCACATTTACCGAACTATACACTTTTTTCTTCTTCTCCAATAAATGTTTAAAAACTCGTCCTCGTTATACAAATTTAAATTTAATCAATTTTAATTGATAAACAAAAACTACCGACCAGATTTCATTCAACATAATTAACCTTTTTATAATAATCTCTACTGGTTATTTTATTTATAAAAAATATATATACTCACACGAATGTAAACACTCAGATATCGTCGTCGCGTCTATTAAATATCCCTTGCAGAGATAACACGTCAGATACGGGTTTATCTCTGTCAGCTTTATCTTCTCCGGCCTTTTTATCGAGTCCTCCATACTGCTGATAATACCTGAAACAAAAATATATTTTGTTAAGAAACGACAATGGACTATAAAACTGTTTTTTTTTGTCATTTGGGAAAAATGTAAAATTCTAAACAAAAAAAAGTAGTAATAGTACAAAGAGTAATTTTAATGGAAACCTATGGTATTTGATTTAAATTTATAGTTATTTTTGTAAGTTTTATTACGGTGTTACAAGTTTTATAAGGCATCCAATAAATACCAAAATACTTAAAATTTTATAATATTGCATCTAAAACGTTTTGGATACTTTATCTATAAATTGCTTAGTGTTGATTACTTAAAAGGTTTTATAGCATAGCTTACTTCGTAAAATTCTTATAAATGTGGAAGCGCACCCAATAAATATTCCCTAACGCTTATAAAACTCACCACTGATGCTTATAAGTAAAAAAATAAAAGATTATGGGGTTTGTTATTCAATAAATATTCTGCAAAATGTCACCAACTAATAAAAATTGGCAAAAATTAACTGTAGCTTAGATTCTCCTATATAGAAAGTGTTAGAATCTCTTTTTTGCGTCGAATGTTAAATCAACCAAAATTATTAACGAAAAGGGTTTTTAATTGTAACGAAATCCATTATAAAACCTATAAGGTTTATTTGGAACTAAATATCGGTCATTGTTACTCAATTTAGGTGCTATATCCGTTTTATAGGAGTAGCGATTACGTTTCCTAAATAATTGATAGATTTCTAGGTTTTATAGGTAATAGAAACGTAACAATTATTATTATAAAACAAAAAACGTTAGTTGGAAAGTAGTATGTAATTTAATTAAAAGTAAAATTAAAAAAAAATAGGCGTGTACTAAATATGGTAGATTTTATATCCTTAACAGAATGGATATGAAATTATATCCGTTCAGTAGATTGATATGGCCTATATGAAAAACCTCTCTACTATTACAATTTTAAGTGCTTTAAGTAGGATTGCCAGACGTCACGCTTCTGGCGTATTTGCCACGCTTTTTGACTTGCTTGTACGCGCAACGAAAAAGTACAAAAATGACACGCTTTTGACAAAAATGCCACTCTTTTTAATTTAAGGAACAGGATTTATACAAAAATAGACAAATTTCCGGATAAAGGACCCTCGTTTTTTCGAAAAAATATAGCTGAGGACCTTTTTTTAGAAATGTCACAAAAAATGTAACTGATTATATAAAAATGCTTGGTATTTGACGGTTTGCACTTTCGGAAATTTGGCAACCCTAGGTTTAAGGGGCAAATGTATCATTTTTGATTGTATCTGTTCAACGTTTCAAATGTCAGATAGTTTTGGAACAGCTGAATGTCTTGTGTCTACATATATATTGAATGATACAGATGATACCACTGTCAGTAGCTAGTATCATCGCCGGATACTGAAATTGTAGTATTATGACGGAACGACTGTTGTAAATATAAGATATAGAAACGGCCTCAATACAGCTCCCTGTGGCATACCAAATTTAATTTGATATATAGCAGAGCAGTGATATTATACAGACTGGAACTGGATACCACTTAATAAGGAGCTTGGATCCAGTATTATATATTGTTCTATCACTATTTTCCTATGACCTGTATTTATGGAAAACCAATTAGTAGCTCAGTGGATTTTGTGAAAGATCTGGTATATATTAATAGCTACAATTGAAGGCAGTTGTTTAAAAAGTGTAACAAAAGGTAGAAGGTAAATTGTAAACGAAAAACCTCGTGACAATTATTTTACTGCCTCCTCATTCAAGCCATTTACTTCAGCCCCTCGATCTGGCAATATTCAAGTCCATTAAATCATCGTGGGATGAGTATCTCTGCAAAAGGTTGAGACAACAAGGCAATGACGATAAAAATTGGAGAACTATGGATAAACTTCGATACGGACATTATTAAAAATGGATTCAGGAAAGCTGGCATCTTTCCGTTAAATAAATATATCATTCCTGAAAAAAATTTTGACCAACTATCTTTGGAACGATGGAAATCATTGCAGCTCGAAACTGATCAAATGGCAGCACCCGAATTGGACCAAGTTGCAGCACCCGAAATGGACAAAGAGTTTTTGTAATAAATCCAAATTTTCAGGTAAAAATACTTTCGGATTATGATTACTTAAGGTTGTAAAAATATTAAAATGCTTAAAAAACTATATAGTACGATGATCTCTAGTTTTTATCTTGATTTTAAAGTCAACTTTGAAATTGAAGGCATGCACTTCCCCGAATTGATCTTACTCCAATTATCTTATGCAAGTTTTAAATACCTCGTACATTAAACAAACGCAAGAACTGATAAAATTTGTTTACTTTATATTCCATAACCACGATGAATAATAAAGAGAAGACACACTACAAAATAATAACGACCCTTATTATATTCCTTATTCCAAACGATACCGGCCAATTACATTACTACAATAATATAATTACACTTGGTTTTATTAAAGCTTCCGCATATTGGCAGCAAGTCGTGAGAAGTGTTAATTCACAAAATAACAGTTTATTTTATTATCCGGCTGTAAAGTTCATGTTCACTACTGTAATCTCGCTTTATTCTTTGAATAGCTCAGCCTACTTAGATATATAAACTACGCCATCTCTTTGGTAATTTTATGTTTTGTCGCCGGATGTTATTTCTGAAGATTTTGAATTTTAAGCGACACTTTGTTTTGAGTATGAATAAATCGCTTTTTATGGCGAGACGCCTATTAAATTGAGTGGGGATGGTTTGTGCGTACAACTACGATTTCTACCGTTGTCATGCTGCCAAATAAATAGTTGCAACCAGAAAAATACATTAATCCGGTAATAACTGGCATTAAGAAAGGAAATATAACTTCCTTAATATAATTTTGAGAGCCTTTTGTACGTTTTAGAGCCTTAGGTTCAATAAATTTCGAATTTAAACAACAAAAACAATCCTTGTAACAAGACTATCCCAGACTAAAAGTAAAAAACCTCTTTTTTGTATGTGATGTTTGTAAAAAAATGTGATATAGCCGAAAAAACCTCAAGAAAAGATAATAATGACCAGCTAATTCTAATTAATGAAGCTATTGGTAAAGTTCATGAGCTAATTCAGAAAAAAGTTGATGAGTTATTTGCTATAAAAGATAATGTTCTAGATGCATTAAAACTAGAACTTAATCAGAATATTTTGTCAAAACTTCCCTCCACCAGTTCAAATTCATCCAAATCATCATCTAAAAATATTAATCCCGTTTCTTCAAATATATATCTTTCAAAAGTGAGAATTCAGAAGATTCCAATAAATTCAAAAAATTGGCTAATAATTACACCATTAAGGAAGTGCCAGTTTCCATACATTCCAATTTCAATGAGTTTATAGAAATAGCCTCTAGGAGCTTCATACTCAGGTATGCATATTTTATTTAGTTCCCTTGTATCCAGGCAAATTCTGATATCTCCATCTTTTTTCTTGACAATCACAAATGGGTTTATATATGGAGGAGTGCTAGATTCTATAATCTTGTCTTCTAGTAATTTTCTTGTAGCTTCTTGCATTTCATCATTATATTTGTATAGGATTGGATAGCTTTTTCATCTGAATATTTCCATGTTTTTCACTTTCAAACTACGTAAAAAATTCTTGGCAACTTTTGATTTCTTATTGAATAATTCTTTGTATTTTTCCAACAATTTCATCATCTTTTCCATTATTTCTTTCCAATTTTCAATATTTGTTATATTATTTACTTCATTACCATCTTAATAATCATTCAAATTATCTTCACTTTCTCTATCCTCTCTCCTTCTTCAAATACTATTTTATTTTCATTAAAAATACCATACATTTTCTTCGCTAACATTTCTTTCCGCTCTATTTTTTTTTTATTCAAAATCATACTTGAGTTTTCTTCTTCCAATCTTGTATTACTTTCTTCAAATCCAATTTCTATCCCATTCAAATTCACCGTTTTGTTCTCATAGTTGATATCTGCATTGTATTTCTGTAGTTCATCTGTACCCTCTAAAACATCGTACTCCATATTTTTCACCATTAGCAGTTATACTTCAATGTTCTTGTTTTCCCTATATAACTTAATTATTATGGATTTGTTCACTTCACTGAATTTCTTTTTATTTATACCAATTAAATTAATTTTTAGAACATTTGTAACTTTAATTAGATTCAATTTATTTACAATATTTTCACTTATTAATGATGTCTCTGATCCAGTGTCGATTAAAACTTTTACCCTCACATTATTCAGATTTGCTTTTATCACAACTAAACTAATTTTTTGTTTTTATTCTAGGCAATCCTGATTTTTGAGGAATTCACGTGGATGGACGTAATTATACAGATTACGTTTTACTTCAGTGCCGTTTACACTAGACCCAAGACTATTTTCATCATGAGCAATATCAGGACTTTCGCTTGTTCGCCTGTGTGTTTGGAAAACTTGTTCTATCACAACTATTGGATCTCCTATGAAAATTGACTCTACGATTGTTATCTGTATTGTTCCTATGTACAGCATTTTGTGAATTCTGACCCATATTAGTATTTATGTTTCTATTTTGAAAGCAATTATTGTTATACATTCTTGCATTGCCTATATTATTGTTATTTTTTTGGACATACCTACCAAGAAAGTTCATATAGGAGAAATAAAAAAAATATTCATAATTAGCATGATTGACAATTTTAAAACTTATAAATTCATATTTTCACGTGCCTTGTAATCTTATACCCAAACGAAGCCAAAAGCTCATGCTGAAAATGCTATTAGAAAACCAAATTCATTGGGGATGCTAATTATGGTCTGTAATAAAAGTATATTTATATCGAGAACATAATTTTCAACAAGACGCCTCACTTTGGGAAGATGGATTGGATGCCGCGGGCCTAAAAAATAATCACTATGACTTTATCAGAGTAATTTACGAACGCCGCGAGTGCATAAACGTTAATGTACTCATTAAAGAACATACTATCATCACAAAATTGATAATATCCTCTTA